TATCCGCGCCATCTCTGCCGCGTCTCTCTACAAAACCAGTGACGTCATCACACACACCCAACACCTATATTCAGGAAAAGACGGGAAATAATTGGTCTCACAAGAGATGTTTGTCCGTGCGCCACGGTTCGATGCTGTCCGCATGCTCCGGTTGCGCTGCTCTGGTGCCGCTGCTCCGGTACCGCTGTGGCCAGTCATAGCACGACCAAACTCGACCCGCTCCGCTTCGTACACGCTCTCGTTGCTGTCCTTCCCAGTCGGTTCCTCGCTTTCTCCCGCGTGGCACTTAGGGTTCTTGGTCTGAAAATTCTCGCGCCGAAGGATCAACCAGCCCAATCAGCTCGTCACCACCTGTCCCCTCCTCCTTTGATGGCAAAACCAGGTTACTGAGACAGTACAGCTCCCTCTAGCAAACCTAGGGCCGTGTACATAGTGCCCGTTCACCTTTCTGATGACGTCTGCCTCCGCTCACAAAGATGAGATGGGCATTGCTGCCTACACCGACGGCCTGGAGGCCCGCGCATCTGCACCTTTGTACCTGACGCACCAGTGCCGGCCCAACACCCCCACTACGCACGCCTCGCGGCGGGTGCGCCGCAGCAAGAAGGTATCAGTCCCTTGAGGGTGAGTCTAGCCCTGCTCGCTAGAAAGACCCCCCCTCTCGCTATGGGTCATGCCTACGCAAAACCTTCCCGAGGCAGCGAGGGGAAGAAGGGGAAAGACTAGAACGTGTACTACTACCCAGTTATATATGGCGTTCGTCGATTCTGAGTCGAGCCCTCCACACTTTTCCTCGAACGCGTAGGCCATCACACCCGACGGCAAATCGCCGCAGCAACTGCGATACGCGTTCATCCAGAAGGGTTCCACCAAGCGTTTCAGCGATATGAAGGGAGCCATCCAGCGCGTACAAGGTATCTGGTGTGACCCCTAGCCGGTGAGGCTGGTGCACCATTCATACTCGGTAGGGACGAGGAGACATACAAGCACATGTACCACGTCATGGCACAGGAGCCGCGCGAGCACCGACAAGTCCGTCGCTACCCCGGCGATTGGCATTTGCTGCTGCACATGGCCAAGGCGATGCTTAGGCGGTACTGGGGTGCTGGCGTGGAGTTTGTGGCGAAGGATTTGGGGAAAGACGGGTCGAAGTCGGGGGAGGGGAGCAACTACCGTCGGGCACACCACCACATAACGGCGTTTTGGGCGGCGTTTATGGCTCTGTGTTGACAGGAATACTTGAAGAGTTTGCCGACGCCAGGTGACAGACCGGTGGAAGGGGACAAGGTGGTCGGCGGGGTGGTTCGGTGGGTAGTGGCACGGGCGGACTCTCACAAGACTTTCGCTGTGTGGAAGCAGTTCTTCCCCCACGACTACCCTGCGTACATCGCCTTCCGAATTGCGCTGCGTACGGGGAACTTCAGGCTGAGGCTTGAAGGCCTTCGCCGTATCGCCCCCATTTTTTTCATCACCGGCAAAGACAAGTACCAGTTCCTCGTGGTAGATCATCTGACGGAGGTGTCGCGTTATTCGCGCAATGATATGAAGGTCGTATCCGAGCTATTCTCCGTCTCACTCGGCCCTGACACGTTTGCACGAACCGGCTTGGACGCAGGAGGTGTCCAATCGTCTCTACAAGGCATTGACGAAAAGGATCCTTTGGAGCACGATAGAAAAGCTGGCACCGATTGCCCAGCTGCGTGAAGTCGCCATCTTCGACTTCGAATTGCATTTCATCAAGAAAGCACGCACGGAAAGGGACCGTTGCAGAGAGTTGGCGGTGGAACGTGCACCAGCAGTTAGGGCGGCGATGGACTGCTTGAGAGAGAGCCCGGCATTTGAAGGCGAAGATGGCAAAGACAAGGTCGTGGCGTTGGACGGGAGAGGGTTCCCGCCGGTCGAGTAGCAAGAGATTCTCGACTCGCGCGCTAAGGCTCGTGCGAAAATGCGCGAGTTGTCCTGTACGACGTCTTCAAGAAGAAAAAACTCAACGACGCGAATTTCAAGGGCGCGACCAAGAAGAAGGTTTTCTCCATCCCGGCTAGGAACAGCATCAACAAGGCTACGACGAGTCAAGGGAGGTCGTCTGCACTCAAGGATTCCGTCGGTAATACCTACGCTGGGGGGCAAGAGTGGAAGGCCCTCACGATGAACATGTTCGATGCGGCCAGAGAAGGTGGGGGTGTGGTGACGCAAGACCAGATGCTGGAAATGGCGGCGTCCATAGGAGCGGCCACGCCGTACAGCATGGCCAACGCGACGGGAGGTAAGGAAGAGAGCGTGCGCAATACAGGTTGTCATGTCGTGCTTTCGCTCCCAGCCGAACTCACCCACGCTCCACACCCGTGTTTCTGAGTATTATTATCATAATGCATACCACATCACATTGTGTTCCCCACCCCCCCATCCCCAAACACCCCTGTTGGAAATCTCTCCCCAAACGTATCAGGAGCCAAGCACCCCCACAAGGCGGCAGGTCCAGGGAAATGGGTCAGAGAGCATTGTGCCGACGGGNGTCGTGCTTTCGCTCCCAGCCGAACTCACCCACGCTCCACACCCGTGTTTCTGAGTATTATTATCATAATGCATACCACATCACATTGTGTTCCCCACCCCCCCATCCCCAAACACCCCTGTTGGAAATCTCTCCCCAAACGTATCAGGAGCCAAGCACCCCCACAAGGCGGCAGGTCCAGGGAAATGGGTCAGAGAGCATTGTGCCGACGGGTTCGCAGGCGACCCGTCTTACGACGCTGACGCTCATGGCAAGGAACGTCCCGTGTCAATCCACCAAGGGGTGCACCCGGAATACTTCGAGAAGGGAACTGCGGGAATAATGACTATTCAAGAGGCAGCTGTTGTCGAAGTGGCTGCAATCAACCGAGCTACTCCTGGTGTGCTACGACCGACAGGAACTGGTGCCGGTAATCAAAGGACAAGAGCAGCTTGGGAGGACCGAGAAACTTGTTGAGTGCTCTCGGACCTTTGACCCGAAGTCAACGGACACTGTTCCTTCGTAACAGTATGGACCATGGCTTCGAGCCGATGGCAAGGCGGCGCGGGACGGAATCGCCGCCTACCTCGCCATGCGCGTGCTAGCTGATGAAGTCTGGACCGGCGACACCAAGCTGAACGGAATCGTCGCATTCCATGGCGGCGGAGGTGAGCCTGGTCTGAGTGCTGATCATCCAGCTGGTGTAGATGCGGAGGGCGTAGGCCTTGAGATGGGAGGGGTAGGTGCCACGGAGGTGCTTTCCGGAACCGAACCACTCCTTCACTTTCGAAAAGGAATGACCATACCCCTGGCGTCGAGCGGCAGCGAGGGCCAGACATCGGCGAGGCGGAGCTCTCCGTGAAGCTCTCCGTGATACACTTCATCGTTTGGGCGATGAAGTACTGGGGGAAAAGCTTCGACATGTGGATCGTTTCATCGGTAGACACGGACCTATGGATGATCATTCTACTGGAGATGATCACTGGTTGGCTTCGGCCTCGTGGCGAGGGGGCGGTTGACGTGACCGTCTAGAAGGTCGTGGGNTGCTTTCCGGAACCGAACCACTCCTTCACTTTCGAAAAGGAATGACCATACCCCTGGCGTCGAGCGGCAGCGAGGGCCAGACATCGGCGAGGCGGAGCTCTCCGTGAAGCTCTCCGTGATACACTTCATCGTTTGGGCGATGAAGTACTGGGGGAAAAGCTTCGACATGTGGATCGTTTCATCGGTAGACACGGACCTATGGATGATCATTCTACTGGAGATGATCACTGGTTGGCTTCGGCCTCGTGGCGAGGGGGCGGTTGACGTGACCGTCTAGAAGGTCGTGGGTGGCGAGACCAAGTTCCTGTGGATGAACAGAGTATTCGCCAGCATCTGCGAACTCCAGGACGGAAGCGAGTCCGCGTGGCCGCCATTGACCTTCAGGGGCTGGATTCCCACGGACAACGACAAGGTCCGTCTGTTCGTCCAAACCTTCCTGGAGGCGGGCTGTGACTACCTCCCGGCAATTTCCGGGCTGCCGTTCGACAAGATGTGGGTAATGGCCCTCAAGAGCGTGCGGACGGAGGGTTTGTTTGACAAGCCGCTGTTCTTCGAGGAGCAGGATGGCACGTGGGCCGTGCATGCCGACGAATGCGCGAAGCTTTTGGCGACCATGTTCTTCTACAAGGATGAAGCGGCGTTTGGCGCTGCTCATTTGACTCCAGCCCAGCTGGTCGAAAGCGTTGACCGCGACGTCGAGGGCTACGTGGACGTGATCCGCTAGGCCATCCTCTTACTCCCCAAGAAAGCGACAACCACCTGTCAATATTTTTTTTCCTTGCGCAAGCAGGCAGAACGAGGTAACGCCATCTTCCGGTACTGGCAGAATGGCCTGAGGGAGACCATGCCGGCGACAGAGTTTGCCGGCAAGGGATGGAGCGTCGACCCACGAGGAGAGGGGAGCGACGGCGACGAACTCACGAAGGAGAACTGCGTGCTTGACCTGTCCGAGTATGCTTACATCGCCCCTGACCGAAAGATAGTCACGCTTGCGTGTGGTTGCAATCCGGACACGGCCCTGTGCAACAGGTGCAGGTGCAAGAACAAGAAGTGCTCGCTCGCTTGCGGCTCCAGAAATCGTTGCACCCTACGGCGGGCGGCGCCGGCACCCATGCGTGAAGGGGGGAGGTCTGCGTCACGGCCTACGGTGGGTGCTTCTCAAACTAGGCGGGTAGAGAGTACCTCCCAACCCCAACCACCCATCGAGAGTCGACCACGGCCATCCTTCAGTGTTGCCAATGCCATCCACTCTTTGCCGCCTCTATGAGGCAGCAGGTATCGCATGGAGCGGAACAGAACGACGTGGAGGCGGGGACCCCCGAGTCGCCTGCGAGCAAGGACGTTTCCACCGGCGAGGCCGCGGAATCTAAGAGCGCAGAGTTAGACGACCCCGAGTCGGACGAGAACGGCGACGGTTCGGTCGGTGCACTTGACGATTTGATCAAGTTGGATTCGAGCGAATCTGGCTCTAGCGATGGGGAACCTGAAGGGGTGAGCGAGAAGAGCGTCAATTCCAACTGGAGTGGCGGAGACACAGATGATGGTGTTGCGGATCTTGTAACCGACGCCTGGAACTGAGATCTGGCTACTTCTTCAGGCAGGTACATACATCGTTCCTTGGGATTGGGATTGGGGATGTCGTGCCCGGCATTATTGCACGTCAGATCTCCACGTCGTACCGAAAGATCGTGTGGTCTGATATATTCTAACTCCATGTTTCAATGACATATTTCGCGCGTCCTTGTTGGTGGTTGGACAGGTCCGTCCGTGCTTCACTTCCGTTGGATGCATCCGTCCACGAAATACGACGACCCCGGGGTACGAAATATCAGACGGACGAACAGCGCGCGCGTTTTCTCCCCTGTATTTCCCTATCCAGTTGCGCAGGGAGGCGGACGGGGGGGATTATTTTTCGGCCGCGCTGGGTATCCGATGTTTATTGGCATAGTATTTTATTCGTCGCAAACTGCCTGTGAAAGGTACGGGGGGGGTGCTGTGTGCGTTCCGGGCCTGTCTGTGTCGTTTGTACTGACTCTAAATAAAGTGTTTGTTGTTTCCTTCAGTTCGGGCATGATGTTGATAGGTGTGGGCAACCCGGGGGGACCAGTCTTGTGTGCGGTGTTCGTGTGTAAGTATTTCCTCGCGTTTTCGACACAACCAATGCTATAATCTAGTGCGTACAATTTATTCGTATGCTTCGAGAAAAAATACTTCCAACAATTATAATGTGTACATAATGCCGGCCGTGCCTGTTCGCGTGCGACGTCGGATAGCACAAGGTTATCAGTGATCAAGTTCCCTGTTAGTGTAGCTGCCGTGATACTGCTGTCGCTACTCCATCCTCTCATAGTTTTTTTCTCCGGGATTCCGGAGAGTTGTACTGCTGGGTGAGGGCCCCGAGTCAACAGGCACAAGCGTGAGCGGTGCAACACCGCAGCAGGAGGAAGGAGGAGGGGGGCACCCCAACAGCAATTTCAGTTCAAATCTAGCTGACGCCATTCAAGAGTACTCCACGTGTAGTACGTCTTGCAGCACAATTCCAAGTGCTGTACAACCGCAAGATCAGCAGCTAACGTTACCAATGCTCGGTGTTGCCGGCGGCGTGGCAGAAAATAAGCATGGTGCCTGTATGTTAATGCAAGTTTTCAACTTCATCTGTGTCTACCTCTTGATTCCCGCCACCAATCAAGTTCAACCCTTCTGCAATATACTCTATGGTGCTCAATCCATCTTCCTTCAAAAGTTGGTGGCGGTTAATGCTGTAGTGGGCGCGTTCTTGTGCTTGGTCGCTTTGGTGGGTGCATAAACAGGGTGGTTGCGCTGGGTAGTCTAGATACGAGTCTCACATTTTTTTAGGGGAGGGGCTGCGTGTTGCGCCGACAAGTTTGAAGCCTACAATAGTAGACGGAATTTGGAAAATCTTGGTTCTTTAGATAGCTACTGGAATAATCTACTGCTGTAAACCTTGAGCCTTGGCTGCGCTTCTGTGTAGAACGATAATTTTTGTTCAGCCATTTTTTTTTTTCAGTCGTGCAGCACTGAGGACCCCCCACACGCTCTGAGACGCTGCTTTCGCTGGTGTACTTGATTTTGTTTGGGGGGTGCGATTCCCAAGAGTATCCTATCCGCAGACCCTCTCCATGCTTGTCAAACCAAGGTTAGGTTTGTTACGCGAACATACTCGTTCGCACCTCCAGCCGCCAGGGTATTGGCTGCTGCAGCTCACTGCTGCGGCCGCGACGGACTGGCAAGCAAGATGTCTGCTCTGCAAGGAGAAGCGCACTTCTTTGAGGAGTCAATGAACCCAATGAAGGTCAAGGAATACCTTGGACGACCGAAGGTGTGCACAACAGCAGCAGCGGAAAGTGCTTTTTCTGTTCGCACACGCCGTCAGCAGAGCCACCCTTAGCTTAGATGGTCGTGGTTTGGCGATGGTAATTTCGCACCACATTTTCCGTCTCCCTACTCCCTACCATTCAGTCCATCTATCATCAGCGGTGACGAGCGTGCCCCGGTCAGCGAACGTCCAACCTGTGTGTACGATTCACCCGCAAATATATGCGGTGTATCCGTGACACGCATACATATGTGTGTGCTCATCCTCCCTTGCCCTTGCTCCACAACTCCACCACCAGGATGTCGACAAGCTAAAGGGGATGAAGTGGCTGCTAGCAATGGTCAGCAAGGGGCGAGACGTGAGCGAGTTCTTTTCGGACGTGGTGAAAAACATGGCGGTCCGCTCTGTTGAGGTGAAGAAGATGGTGTACATCTACCTGGTGCACTACGCCGACAACGACGCTCAATGCCGCGAGCTGGCGCTCTTGTCCATCAACTCTTTCCAAAATGATCTTCGGGGATCTAATCAGGTGTGTGTGTGTGATCGGTGTGCGAGAAGAAGGGCTCGAGCGTCGATTCAACATGCAAAGAAGAGCTGCCCGCGCAACATGTCCGTCCATCTTTGGAACTGATTCGGAATCGGGAGTGACTGACCTTGGCTTATCGTTTACCTATTTCGTGTGCGACACACGCCGCCTTGTCTTCGCGGCACATATCCTGCCTGTGACATTTTTCGCAGCTCATCAAAGCGCTGGCGCTTCGGGTGATGACTAGTATCCGTGTCCCGGATATCATCCAAATACAGCTGGTGAGTCATGTCACTTGCTTGCGCTGGTGCCCCCGCCCCGAGATTTGGACGTCGTCACGATTGTGTGTTACCATTGATTCACACTCAATGCACACGTTTGTGAATTCCGCCGCTTTCTTGCCCGCAGTCTCGAAGTGTTGGTACCGCTTGAGGACCACACGGTGAGGGTGGATAGATGCTGAGCAACCTTTTGGCGTGAAGGCTAGAGTATGATTTCCGAAACCATTCCCAAGATTCGATAAATATGTCATTGTTGAATAGCGGTTGACCCTGATGAAGACTCCGACTTTCGTCCCTCCTGAGATTCAGCCTTTTTCCCCTTGACTCCCAAACGCAGCTGGCAGTTCGTGACTGCGCCGCCGACAGCTCTCCCTACGTTCGCAAGTGCGCGGCGAATGCGGTCCCCAAGATTTTCGTGCTGGACCCAGAGCAGGCCCCCCAGCTTTGGCAGGTGAGACCACACGGACGGACGGGCTAGCGAGCTCAGCTTGTTCGTGTTTTGATTCGCGTTGTTTGCTCGTGGCCCCGTGATCGTCGGGCGTGGGGACGGACAAGTTCGGTAGTCGTTCATCAGGACGACTTTCTTGCTTTGGTTAGCTTTGGGTCGAACGCCTCAAGTTGTGCCAGCTGCCCATAAAGAGGCGATGCATCTGATCTTGATGGTCGTTGTTTTACCGGAAATTTTTCCCCTTTTCGCTTGCAGGTGGTCGAACAGCTGCTCAAGGACAGCAACACGATGGTACTTGGAAGCGCTGTCGCAGCGTTCACTGAGGTGCGTAGTGCATTGTATGGTCATGGTGACTGGAACGAACCCGTCCTGGGCAAGGCAATTTTCAACTTTTCTTCCCTCAACGTGCGGGTGGGTGTCTCCTTGCTTGGTCGTGAGGGATGAATCTCGTTCTCATATTAAATGTCCCCTTTTCTGCTTTCTGTTTTCTTGCTGACTCGGGAACAAAGGTGTGTCCGAACAAGTTCGAACTGCTACACCCAGTCTATCGAAAGCTGTGCCACCTGTTGGCCGACGTAGATGAGTGGGGACAGATGGCTATGCTGGCGGCTCTCCAGCGGTACGTGCGCAGCCACTTCACTAACCCCCAGCGCGGGTTCAGCGATGCAGGGGGTATCAGCAAGTCTGCGGACTCAAACTCAAACCAGCCTCCCCGAAAGGTGAGCACTGATCTACCGATGATTTCACTCCGCCACCTTCGCATAGGTCATAGTCCAGCCATGCTGAGACTACACGGGTGCATATTGACGACTATTGGCGGATACGCGCACTGTGCGGAAACACGTATGTCCCGCCCACCTTCCTAATCGCCGTCAGCGATCCTCTTGCGTTGCATTGTTTTGCACGGCATGGCATTGCGCGATACGACCGCAAGGTGAAGCGACGTGTGGTGAAACGTGCCTTCTACTCTAGCGAGGAGGACGAAAGCACGGAGGAAGAGTTCGAAGAAAAGAACAACTCCGTCGTTGCACCTGAGGTGAGTCCTATTGCTTGTGCAGGTGCTTCTGGTATGGCAAGCGTCAGTACGCTATTACGCAACAAGCGGACGGGTACTCTGCGAACCTTCTACCCTGCGGGGATTGGAGGGGCTGGGAGGACTCTGGGAGCATATCTGACTAGAGAAGAGAGGCCACACGCTAATGTGCAGATCCCTTTTCATGACAATATAAGACAATACTCCCGCGCCCATCTATCATTCGCAGGTGGGTTCGGTGTTCACGACGAGCGATGCTGATCTTGGCGCGGACCTGGACCCGGACCATCGCTTGCTCCTCAGGTTGGTCTACAATCCTTACCCTTAGCGATACTGATATGCGCATGGCGATTCTATCGTGCTCTCCTCATGGCATCATTCAAACTTGCGAGGCGAACGTGTTAATAGTGATGCCGTGTGCTACCCTTCTATGCGCCACAAGTCCTTGGTCCAATGCGCAGTCCATTTGTAGGCAGCCCTGTTGTATAGAATCGTCACTCCTTGTTGGTTGTTTTTTCGAGAAATACTCGCATTCCCATATCCGCCTGTCTTACGACGCCTATGTGCAGGTGTTCTCTGCCTCTGCTCAAGTCGCGCAACAGTGGTGTAGTGTTAGCGGTGTGCACGGCACATTTCTACTGCAGCTCACGAACTGGCAGCACCATGAACCAAATAGCGAAGGCGATGGTGCGCATCCTGAGGAATCGCCGAGAGATCCAGTTCGTGGTGTTGGATGCCATCAGGTGAGTCATTCCCCGCGCGGGGGTGTGGTTCCTATGTTCTTGTGGGGCTCTTTGGTGCGTTGATACTTCATGAATTCTGGTTGTTTGTGTTTCGCAGCGGGATTTAGTACGGTTTACTTGGCCAAGAGCGGTGGCGTACTGAACTGTTGTGTGACCCTTGCATGATATGATCTTCAGCCACATTCAACACGCGAAAACACGCCCGACCTGTTACCATGGTGACATTTCTTGCTCACCGTCAACATTTTCCCGCCCGCTTCCCGCATACCACCATCACCATCTTCTCGCGATTGGCTCACAGAACGATGGTGGCAGATAGCCCGTCGGTCTTTCGGCCCTTCCTGCAGGAATTTTTCGTGAAGGCGGCAGACCCATTGTTCACGTGCACCCTGAAGCTCGACGTCCTCACCGCGCTTGTGACCAAAGAAAATTGCGCCACCATTCTAGGAGAGCTGCAGACCTATGTACTCCACAGGGACAAGAGTTTCGTGTGCGCTGCGGTGCGCGCGGTGGGGCGTGTCGCAGACGCCAGGCCGGAGGCTGCGGATCAGTGTCTGCACGTGAGTGAGACTACACAGAGTATTGATTAGGAGATCAGCCTATAAGTTGAAGATTATGGAGCTCTATTTGTTCCGGAAGTTGATGAAGTTTCTCCTTGAACAGCTATCATCACATCGATGCTGTTTTGATTTTGTTGCTACTACACGGAGTGCAGTAGGCGTCCACGTTTTCCTCCGACGCAGTATGCATAACGATTGCAATTTTCGAAAGAACTACCCTCAGCCCCGTTTCGTTTCGTTCCCGTCACCTGCTCTCTAACTGTACCCTTTAGGGGCTTCTGACGCTCGTGACGTGCAGCAAGACGAGCGTGGTGGTGGCTGAGGCGGTAATCGTGCTGCGGCAGTTGCTCCAACAGAACCCCAACTTTCAGGGCTCGGGGGACATGGTGCGACGGCTCTCGGTGCTTCTGCTGCAGTCGTTCCTTGAGCCTTCCCTCGAAGAAGTAAAGGGTGGAGGCAGAGCAGGCGAGAATGATCAGGGCGGCGGTAACGCCCTTGCGGTGGCGAGCGCAGCCAGGGCCAGCCTCGCACAACCCGGCGCCAGAGCATCCATAATCTGGACCCTCGGTGAGTATCACCAGCACATTTCGGGAGTCGCGCCGGATGTTTTGAGGGTGCTGGCGAAAGCTTTCCCGGAACTGGAAGAGGAGGTCAAGATGCAGGTGCGCGGTGTCGGCCGTCTTTGTTCGTTTTATGGGCGTAGGCTGTCATTTTCGGCGTCAGACTGTGGTGCCTACTTGTTGCACATAGGTAGTATTATAAACACACTTTTTTTTATAATATCTCGCTGCAGGAGTTGATTCGTCATGTTGATTGCATAACGGGCCGTTTGGAGATGAAAGCCGACCAACCAACGAGCGCATCCTGCACTTCCTTGTCTACACACATGCGCAGGTCCTTAACTTCTCCGTCAAGCTTGCTCTGCGACAAGCGGAGGACACGCGAGTGCAGTCACTGGCGTCGTTTGTGCTTGAGATGGCCAGGTTTGACCTATCGCACGACCTCCGGGACAGGGCTCGTTTCATGACGGCGATGCTTGGGCTAGCCACCGCTGACGAAGGGGTCGACGAGGCGTCCTTGTTGGCGCTTCACGCCAAGGCTGGACAGGTACGGACTTATTATAGAGTGTGCACAGCATGTGCTTCAGATATGAGCAATGTTGCGTGGCGCGAAGGGGGTAGGGATTACACCCTTTCTTCTCCAAACGTGATGTGACGCACTCGTGATCTCTGCGTCCCCGCTTGTTTGTTGGGCGTTTACTGCCGCATCAGGTGCTTCTAAAACGCCGACCACCACCGGTAGCAGACAGTGGCGGGAACGGGAAGTCCACAGCCGAGGCAGGGTCCCACCTCGTGCTCGGTACTCTCTCCGCCATCATCGGCCACCCCATCAACGGATACCTCCCGATTCCTGATTGGTGCAGCGTGCAGCCGGACGGTTCGGCGAGAGAGCCTCCGAAAGAGGAGCCACGAGCATTGACACCTCCCGCTCGCAGTAGCGGTGCCAAGGGTAAGGGGGGTCAGGTCAACAGCGATTTCTACTCTGGAAGTGGCAGCGGGAGCGACAGTGAGAGTGAGAGCGGCAGCGGCAGCGGTAGTGGGAGCAGTCCCGAGTACGGCACGGAAGACGGATCTGAATCGGACTCGTACGATTCAGCTTCGACATCGGGAGGAGAGGAGGAGTCTGGGTCTGAAAGTTCAGACTCTGAAGAGTCAGGATCAGGTTCAGAAGAATCGTCGGACGACGAAGACGATGATTCGGACTCGTCTGTGGGAAGTAGCAGTAGTTACTCCACTTCGGGTGATGACAGCGAGAGCAGTGGGACCAAGGGGGAGGAGGGGGTGGGCCTCCTTATTATGGGGCCAGGCTGTTCGACCAGCAGCGCTGCCGCCACGACGTATGGTGCCAGCGCGCCCGCTCCGCATACTCAAGATCTGACTGGCCTCGTAGAAAGAATGAGCGTCGCCGATAGGGAAGACAGCGCATCTCCTCGATTGGGAGTGCCAGCAGGGGCGGGGTTGGCATCGCTCAGCACGGCGGGGATCAGAGGACCGGCGGCTCCTGCGCTGGGCGCTGCCGGAGCCATGTCGCTGGGGCGAACGTCATCCACAAGCTCTGTCCTAATCGCTGATCCGGAGGGAGACACAAGCGCTTCGTTCCCGTCTACGCTGTTGCGCCATCAGGCTGGCGGTGGGCTGCAAGTGGACTACCGCTTTTCTCGCGGAAGGGCGAGCGCCTTGTCTCGGCCGTCCACAACCCTAACTCTACGCCTGTCGTTCACTAACCACGGCGAGACACCGGTGCGACGCATCCGCGTCGTTGCCCCGCGAGACGGAACGCCGATGGAGGCATTTCCGGAGATACAGATGTTGCCAGCAGGGGCCACGCAGACCGCAAACTTGGGCATTGACTTTGGCGGCAAGGCGAAAGATGTGAGTGGAGGCAACAAACACCGCCTCGGCACCACAGGCACACCCATACCTGATGGCTGTGTGAGCTGTTGATTGTTCCGGTTATGCATACGGTGGAAGCAAACATGTACTTTCGCGGCACCACTCCATGCTGCCATGCTACTATGCTTGGCCTTGGAGAGTAGGATGGCTCTAACTGCTCTCGTCTAACATGAATCCAAATGATGCCGATGCTTTGCAGGTTCGTTTCGAGTTGAAGACAGACAGAGGCAGCTTCATGGTTTCTCTCGAGCCTCCTCCAGAGGAGCTGCTGTTCCCGGAGCCAGTTTCGAGGGCAGAGTTCCGACGGGTTCAGGGTTCGCTGGGTGCACTTGATCGCGACTCAGTGGATTGCCAGGTGAGCAAAAGTAGAAAATACGGCCGGCCGATGGCGTATGCAGCCCATCACCACATTGAAAGGCGGTACTACGCTAGAAGATATCAAGCAACGTGCAATTGTTTCTGTGTAACCTGTCGGCCCCGCCGCTCTCGCTATCTTGTATTTTGCAACAGATCCCAGCCGCCGACATATCGAGAGTTCCATCACGCGTTCTTCGAGCAGTGAATGCGGCGGTGGTGGCGAGTGACACCGTCGAGGAGTCGTGTTGGTGGTTCTCGGCGTGCAGCCTGGCTGGATCCATGTCGGAACGTGTTTTCATCAAGGTCGCCGCCGACGGCGGTTCGGGGAAGGTTGTGGTCAACGTGTACTCCGACAACACCATGTTGCCTTCCAAGTTAATGAGACCCATCAAGAAAGCTGTAGAGGAAAATAGTCGGTAAAGAAGCACAGACAGTTGCTTTCAGGTGTTGATTGAAGTTCTAACCCCGTTTATCTTGGAAAGTGAGGCGTGCTAGAGTTGCGTGGTGATGATTTGTGTTAGTATTTGGGTACACAGTTACTTTTCCATGGTTCGCTGGCCCACGAGGGTGGAGATTGTTCATCTATGTGCAAACAAGAACGGTGTTCGCTACACAAGCGTAGCCTGAAAGGTGTCCGGTAGCATGCTGCCTTTTGGGCGAAAGTAACAGAACACTAATGACAGATTTAGTGGTTACGACCGTCAATCTGCAGATTTCAAAAGCTTCGTTTCACTACGGCCGATACGCTCCATCCCGCTCGAGGTGCTTTTCAGCGCGACAATTCTACCCTCGAAGATCCACGGAGGGTCCGAGGTATCGACAAACGCCTGGCTTGACTCCAAGCGGCGTCAAGGTTTCGATTAGCTCCACCGCATCCTCTGTCTGTGACGGAATCTGTGCGGTGCGCGCGTAGTGGAATGCGCACAACAAGCGAGACATGAAGTAGGGAGTGGGGGTACATTTGAGAGCGATGCTCCGGTGCCGCATACTTTGATGTCATGGCCAACCCTTTGCAGTAACATTTCCGACAATCAAAGCTGCGTTGTCCCTTGAGGTTTTTCCCACTCACCTCCTTGTAGTACCGTGTATTTCTTGGACCAACGTGGACTTCGAGAAGAGCGGAAGGCTCTAGCGCTTCTATTCGCCTCACGGTTTGATGTCCCGCTCTCCAACAGGCCTCACGGGATGATTCTTCTCGGGTCCTGAGTGCAACCTGACGATCGTACGGGACGGGGGAGTTGATCAGCTTGACTCCGTGCAGCCGATCCGTTGCTCGGCAGTCACAGAACGCTCTTCGTTCTCTTTCCGCGGAGAGAGGTAGTCAGAGGTGGTCTATCTGCATCACACCTGTCGACTTCCTGAATATGCAACGGAGTACCACAGGGGTTCAGGGTCTAATCTTACGAAGTTGGCAACAATGCATGACTGGTCGCTGGCGTGCCTTGTAGTTTCTTGTGCAAATACAGCTGTCGTAGATGGTCATGGAACAAGGTACCACGAGCCGATTACGTCAAGACAACCGGTAGTAGGTATTCCCTATTTGCGGACACACATGAGCACTGCTGCCCTTGGCTTCTGCCCTTCTCCGGTCGACCCAGAAAGAGCAGTCCCACATTCGAGGGCATCTCCCTCCCCTGCACACACAATCGCTCTCTTCGCTGCCTCCCACTGCCCAGCCATCCGCATACGTCGCCTCAAGCTCCTGTTGCTCCAGCTTCCGCGCATTGTCTGGTGAGGCCAAGAACAATGGAATCAGGCCCGTACTTCCATACTGGATACGTGCATGCGCAGTTTGCTTGTATTGTAACGATAAAGTTTTCAACAGCTGGAATTTGATCGCATACAGGTTGGTTTAATTTCTCTTGTTGGGTGTACAGCGATGAGAGCCTCACCAGATCTTTGGAGCTCTGCATCACAGATGCTCAAATTCCCGAAAAGTTGCCTCGAAAAACTCCGAGCTTCGTGATATCGGTGCCACTCGAGCTTGGTGCCTCCTGAACGTGTGCATCAGGCAAAAGCAACGAGATATCCACTTATAGACCTTTGCAATGGCAGTTCCCGGGCCCAAATCTAAAAATGCAGACTCGGATGAAATGAGACACCTTAAATACGTACTCACTGACAGCACAACGTAGCCACACCACCAGGTACAATAGTTCGCGAACACTTCGGTGGCTTGCGAGAAACAGCAGTACTCACGTGGCAGGACCAAAACGCTGATGGAAATGCACGGGCTGAGAGAGGGTGGTGTCTCAGCAACGACACATCTCATCGACGTCCAACTTCTCTCCCAAACCGAAGCCTGGGGGAAGGCATCACTGTCCACCTGTCACAGATCACAGAGACTTTAGGGTACTGAGGGTGCCGGGTCACTGCCTTGTGTGTTTGATGAACGCTGACAACGGCATTCAAGTACGAAGTACTGGTAGTTGCTTGGCTGGTGCTGGCAACGCAGCTGTGGTGCACGCACAAGAGACGTCGATACATGGTTTTGCAAAAATACTCACTTTGCTGTGTGAGATGACTTGGTGAGAAACATGGCATGGTTGACGGGGTGTGTCGGCGTTCAGATCTGCAGTTTTTTGTAGGAAAAGCTGTGTACGCATAGTCTTATGTACGGTCATAAACTGCTGTACAGGCAAAGGTGAGAGGTTCCGTAAGTCCAACTCTTTGGAGGTTAAATTTAAATCTTGATGTTTGGTGCTCTTCGGGCTCGCAACGTCGCACACAACAAACCGTAGTGTGGGCAATCGTCCTATACCTCCTTTACGTCTTTCTGACTTTTGTAAACTAGAGCTGTGTACAATACGCACCTCCGTCATCAGTTTCTCCACATTGTATAGGTCAGCCAGGTTGGGGTCGGCACGGAGAGCTTCAGCAAGCCGCTGGAGGCAGTCTGGGCTTGAATGAGCTACGTTGACGCTCTCCACTGGTTGGGGGACTTGACGCCCTCTAGATACCGCATTTGGGGACGCGAACGCGCTTCCTCCTGCGGTGTACAGCAAGAGAGCACCACCGATGTACAGGGATCGACACACCATCGGGATCATGACGGCGATGACATGATGCGGCGCAATGCAATCAATTTCTGTTCTTTTAATTCGCATACAGACATCGCAACAGGTACGTGCGTACGCGTAATCTATCTTTCGCCGGGCCCCCGGTAGGCATTTGGCATTTTGTTTGGCATTTGTTGGCATGCGCACACGACTCACCGACACTCGATGGTAAGCATAAGTAAGGATGTACTCTCCCTACGGCAAGACAATACGGCGATCAGGTTGCTTGCTGGCCCATCTATTCGCTGCACCATTGGTGCAAGAAGTTGGGGTGGGAGAAGAGAAGGAAGACGGTGGGATCGTTGGGATAAAGCAAGAGAACTATGGGCGAGAGCGAGATGTCATCACCAGGTATACTTGTATGACGTTGTTGGCGGGTGTAGCAGAGTAGAGTCTAAAGGCACGGTGTTGCGGAGGAACTGTGAAGCGAGATGCCAAATGTGATCCTGCTGTAAAACGTTGTAGGCGTCGGGGCGACTGCTTGTGTACTGGTAACTTGTGTGCATGTGTTGACTATTATTCTTAAGTGCCCTAAAGTTTGAATCGATTTGGAAATAAATGCAGAGAAACCGAGAACCTGCTTGTGGCCGATGATGAACAAGAGTGACCCGACGGTGATAGAGGAGAGAGAGATGCCTTACACGAATGGAATAATCACCGGACATTTTTCCCGCACCAAGAAAATGTCTACGCCTTGTTTGTAGGGCATACAGCAGTACGTACAAGCAATGTACAGCAGTCGGGTTCATTTTTCAAAACCCGAAAGCCTGACCGAGACTCGTGATCCGGTGATGATGTTCCGTCAACAACCCTGACACGAATGAAGACTTCAACTATTCTCGACTATTGTTGTTGTCCCTCCGACTACTGATGTTGTGCTTATATCTCCCCTCCGACTACTGCTGTCGTGGTTGTATCTGGAGCGGATAGTCTTTCTTGATCGCATGTATATTTTCTAGAAAAGGGCACCCAGAAACGATCGAGCACCCCGAGGTTTCCCGTTCCGTCTGTTCCAACAGCAGTTACCAAACGGGCATGTTTGCTTGCTTTGACGATGATGATTACGTTCTGCCGGGCGATGGCTCTCACACACAGGGCGCTGGCAGACGCAAACCGGGCAATTGCGTTTGTTTCGGAGGTTGCCGACGGGCGCAACTTCCTGATGAACTTGACCGGGTGCCGCGTCCTTCACTTCACTTGGAACGGTGACGGAAACCAAGAGAAGGTGTGCATTGCTTGCGCATGCCGGTGTCAACCGCCTGCGTCAATTACAAGTTGCACAACCGCTTTGCATTCGAAACAAGAACAAATTAGGGATCTGACGGGAGGGGGGCACAGCTAGAAGGCCATGGATCTGCGACTGCAACCCGCCTAAAGCTTGGTATTTGGTATTTCATCGGAACTGCTGTTTGCTCGATGTCACGTGATTGTCGGCAGGTGATATTCGAGAAGCCAAACGGGTTCGCGGCGCCCGTAACTGAAGAATGGCTACAGAACACGTGTGGCGGGCAAAAGGTGAGCACCGAACGTTGTCGTTTCCCTCCCTGAAACAGCATGGTACAACTGTGGTCCACCTCGTGACAAATCTCGTGTACCACGGTAGGCTTCATGTGTGAGCACGTTTCAATAGTGGCGTTCATGGACTTCTCAATTCAACTGCGCGACCATGTTTCCTTGACGTTCACAACTGATTCCAACCGTGTATGCCGCTGTACGATTCCATTTGAACGCTCTGTTGTTGGGTGCGCCCGCTTAGAAGTAAAATTCGTCTCCACAGAAGCATCGCACCTGATCTGTTATTAGTGCGAGAGCTGTTCATGGCGCCATTTTAGCCTTGGTATTTTGGTCAGCGAAGTACACACTTCTCCCACACATTCACTCAGATAACAGCGGTAGATAGGATTGGTGGCTTGAAGCCGCCAGGAGAACCGTATGACAAATGAAGGTACGCATACTATGATTTGTTTCACCATCATCAATCGTACTTCGGTTCTGTGCGGTGCACCATTAATTACCCGTCGTATCGTCGAAATGCTCGGTAGCGACGACGTTGTTGCCGCACTCTCTGGCTCCTCGAATGTGCATGGCACATTGGGTACTGCTGTGCAAATACGTTGGCGCATATTCCTTACTTTTGCCGCCGATTTTCACCGTTTCCCTCACGTCCGTTTCGTTTGCTCTCCATCGGTGCCGTAAATGGTGCCTTACAGGACAAACTTCCGGAGCTGGTGGTGCTCACCGCCGCATCGGCGAAGCTTGTGGCGGGGGTTTTCATCCGCGCAGGTGAGCTGGTAGGAGGCGCATTGGCAAACGACAGTCCTTTTTCGCCCTCTTCGCGAGGCCTTAACATGCATCTCTGGCTTGCTTGGGCAACATGTTCGTGTACCTGGCAGCCGTTGGCTTGTGTCCCCAGTTTCGTTTCGGCGTTTCACTCGCACATGATGTGGCGCGCCCTTGTGAACATCTGTACACTGATATTGCTGT